TGCTGTTCATAATTTTTACATACACCAAGATAATTCTAACTGTTTATCAGAGCTCTGGAGAAGTCAAGAAAAAAGCTGCACAGGCCTGTTTACCACACCTGTTTGTTTTAATCAACTATTCCTGTTTGATAACTTATGACATGATTATAGCTAGACTGGAATCAGATTTTTCTAAAACTGCGCGATTTTTAATGACACTCCAAATAATAACATATAATCCTCTCTTCAATCCAATTATTTATGGACTAAAGATGAAAGAAATTTCTAAACATCTCCAAAGGTTGTTTTGTCAAAGCAAACTCAACTAGTGTGTCAAAACCACTGTTTTGATTCATGTAATTCAAAAATCTGAAATTATGAAATTATGTGTATACAACTAACACAGATTTATGCCTTGTGTTGTCATTAATGATTGCATTAATATTAAAAAAATCTTACTCAAAATCTTGTGTTAAATTATTCTGTAATATGTTATCGTGTTACTTTTACGATAAAATAATAATTTGTTATTGTGTTCATATTTGCAGTGTTAAGGTATTCATTTCTATTTTTATTTTCTACGTATTTACAATACACATATAATATAGTACTGTGCTTCACTGTTTTACTTGTAGTGCTGGAGATTCAAATAATTATGTTCGAAGTAATGTGGCTATAACTGTACAAAAATCTAATTTAATGTTATTCACACGTTATTTAAAATTACAGATCAATCTTAAGGAATCACAATGTAAATATCACTTCCTGACGTAGCTTTAATATGAAAATAGGCTGGCATAATAAATGTGTTCTCTTGTTCCAACTAATTGCTAATGTGTCATTTTATAGATAATATTTTGTTAACCTTTTAACTCAGAATGCACAGATTGAGCCTGTGTGTCACAGCTGGGGCAGCAGTCATGTGGTGTTGTGAAGGAGGACCAAAGTTGCAGACAATGGCAGTGAAGCGAGTGAGGTTTTTTTTTGTTTTTGTTTTTGTTTTTTTGTTTTTTTTGTTGTTTTTTTTTACAGTGAGTGAAAATGAACAGAAGTAAGGACAAAACTAAGTGAGAACTTAAATTGGGTAAAACTAGAGAACAAACTTGAAATTGTACAAACACGGGAAAACATCACGGAGAGTGTAGAGCAGAGAGACACAGAGTTACACAGACAAACCATCAAGGAACACAGGAAGACACAAATACACACAAGGTAATGAGGGAATGACACACCAGAGGGGAACACAGATGAATCTAGTTAGACACAATGAGACACAAACCTTCAAAGTAAAGCAGGAAACTCACTGACTATTTTATAACACAAACGCAGGGACACAAACAAAGTGTTATGAAACGGCTGTGTGCAGGCAGGAAAAGGACCCAAAGTGCAGACCAAACACAACCTAGAGATCAAAAACAGAAAACACTGGAGCCCAGAAAATAACCAAACCAAAAAAAAAAATAAAATAGGCCCACAATAGGTGCAGGTGGCCAAGAAAACACTCCCAAAAAAGTTCAGGGGGCCGGCCTGGAGGTCGATAACGCAAAAGTCCAAAGAACAGTTCTGGAGGCCGACCGCGGAGACAGCGGTGGCGACGGAGCAGGTCAGGAGGTCGGCCACGACAGCAATGATGTCCAGCCAACG